TTGTTACTACTAGTAAGGCACTTGTTACTACTAGTAAGGCACTTGTTACTACTAGTAAGGCACTTGTTTCTAATGGCTTATTGTATAGCGAACATTGCTACTACTAGTAAGGCACTTGTTACTCCTAGTAAGGCACTTGTTACTACTAGTAAGGCATTTGTTTCTAATGGCTTATTGTTTCTAATAGCGAACATTGTTACTACTAGTAAGGCACTTGTTACTACTAGTAAGGCACTTGTTTCTAATGGCTTATTGTTTCTAATAGCGAACATTGTTACTACTAGTAAGGCACTTGTTACTAGTAGCGTGGCACTTGTTTCTAATGGCTTATTGTTTCTAATAGCAAACATTGTTACTACTAGTAAGGCACTTGTTACTAGTAGCGTGGCACTTGTTACTAGTGTCGTCCGTCAGTCTCCTGTCTTCTTCCTTTTTTTCTCTCCTAGTTTCAATCTTCCCATTTTCTTCCTGCCTTTCTCCCATCTTCTTCCTCCTCCTTCCTCTCTCCTGAATTTTTTCTCTTTACTGTCTTCCTGTTTCCTCTCCTATCCTTTTCCTGGTTGCCTCATGTTTTTCTTTCCTCCTGCTTTCTTCTCCGTCACGCACGCAAAAAAAATCCTGTCTCCTGCCTCCGCTATCTCCAAGTTTCCTTCTTGGCTTCAAGAATTGCAGGAGCATCTGCCGCTGCCCTCATGGCCGTCCCTGGCTTTGTGACCCCGGGTGATGTCCCACGGCAGATGGAGGCGACAGGGTTGACTTGGAGAGTGAACAAATAAGAAGGGAGCCCAAGTTCAGTTTCGTCCCAGTTGGTCAAGTGCGGTCATATCACCATGCCAAGCATTCCGCCAGCAAGGGGAACACCCAATAACAGGGAAATAGATTTGATCTGACTCAAACCTGAAAAGTGGCGGGCCAAAGCTCCAGAGCGCTTCATATTAAAGGGATGGTCATCCCTCCAATAAAGTCAAAGACTATACCCCAAAGATAACATTGGTAGCATCATTGACCTGTCTCTCAATCTCGATAGTCATAGATGGTGTCGTTGTGCCCGTCAGGTGTCTCATGGTGGTGCTGCTGCCTCTGCACCCGCTGCTGCGCATCGCAGCAGCGTGCCCGGCTTGGCCGCTGCCAGCATTGCGATGGGGGCCACAGCAGCCTCTGCCTCCCGCTGCTTGTACGCAACCTCACGTCAATCTTGGGGGTACGGGTAGTCCATTCATCTCTTTGGATGGATTGAAACTTCTGAGAAAGTAGCCTTCTGGAGCTTCACCTTCCAAAATAAGGCCGGAAGGCCCGCAGCCAGAAGTCTGCGGTCAAGGTCAAGAGCTCCGCGCAGGAGAGGTCGAGGTTGGACACTTTTGACAGCTGCGATGTAACCTGCTCGGGCCTATGGTCAGATCATGTCAGATCTATTCTTTTTTGGTACTCGAGTTTGTGCTTCGGCATGGCTTGATGTTCTTTTACTTGTCTTCCTCTCGCATGGTTTCATGCAGGCTCGTGTGGTTTTGCCCGATTTCTTGTCATTTCCAGGAGCCTGGTCTTCCTGACTTGGTGGCAAAGGTACAGGATTTGTTGCAGGCCCCGGATCAAGGCCTGGGATGTGATTTGGGTGATTTGGGGTGGTCAGAAGGGACACAGGTATATAAGTTGGATGGATGGAGTACACATTGACCATCATTGACACATGAGGCTATAGTGTTTGGAACATTGCAGCCCTCCGCAAACCTGTGGGATCTCACTTTTTCCCTTTGCAGTGGGCGAAGAACCAATTATTTTTGGAATGCTGTGAGCCTGTCCGGACAGTTCATAAGTTCATATCCCATGTCTAGCGGAATTTTGTAGCCCTGGATGTTCGTCCCTGCAAACATAAATATGTCATGATATGTCAATAGACGTCAATAGTATAACCTTTTTCTTTGCTGGCTTCGTAAAAGCTACCGGGTTTCGAGCAGCTTTTCTGCTTTCAGGCGGTTTTAGACCCACTGAACACACGGTCGCTTGGTTTCTGGTGGAGTTCATGTCATGAAGCGAATGTCTGCAGAGGTCGCCTTCGAGATGTGAAGGCTCTGGCGGCAGAGCTCCGGGCCAAGGCGATGGAACACATCGGGGTATGTGAGAAACACAAAGCAATGGCCTCCACCCTAGTAGCGATGGTTGTATAGAACCCCTCCACTCCACTGACACATTTTAGTCTTTGCATGATTCGCATGTCCGGCCAGAAGGATGCTCCATCCACCATAAAAAGAACATCTAAGGATATCCCTTCACATGGACAACCCTTCATATGTGTTTCATCTCAGGTTTGTCTCTCCCACAAAGACAACAATGGGTGTTGTGTTGCAGTATCTTTGGTTGTGCATAGAGATGGCTGTTTGTATCAGGCACGGAAGCAATAACACAACAATAACAAATTTGACAACGTAGTGAACGCTGGCACACAAGGGCCAATGCGTTTAGTAGCTGTGCCAGTCTGGAACGAACTGCACATTGGTGTCATGTTTTCCAGTTCCATACAGCACAAATGCATCCACTGCCTGCATTGCACACAAATGTACACTACACATGCTGCAGCTAGTCAAAGCACGGCAACAACGATACAGCCAAAAGGTGTACAGTGTACAGGGAAAACAGATGTTTCCAAGACAACCTATATATGTGTTCTTTCACGTTTTATTTCCTGCGAGCCGCTGGGGGATTTAAACAGTGTCCTCACCCCATGAACTGGACTAGACGTTTCAGCAACGTTTTGTTTTGACATACGGTCTTGTTGGTTCAGGATGCTGATGCCAACAGCCCTCTCCGCTGGATGGCCAACATCGCAGCATCGCTGTTGCTGACTCAGAGCATGGCCTTGCAGCCACTTGGCAAAGAGAGGACCACCCCCTGGCGAAGAAGAGCTGCCGTCTGGGAGTGCACCTCCTGACTTTGTCATGGGAGTTCACAAAGGCTTGGGAGAAAAAACAGCAGAAAGATGGAGCATCCACTAGGACCCGCAGCTCATGAAAAAGGTCTTGTTTCCAAAGTGCCAGTCGTGCCTGGCACCTCGTTCGACGCACGTTGCACGGCATTGGCTACTCAGGCCGGCGCATGCGGGGGATGTGGTGAACTATTCCGATTTCATGGAGTCCATCAACAAGGGAGAAGTTGAGATGGTGCGCGTGCAGCAAGACATGCTGTCGGCGCAGTACACGACTAAGGACACCAATATGCGGTGTTCCAACTCAAGGTCAATAGCAAGTATACATTCATTTTGCTTCACGATGATACCGTATACATCCATATACCAGGTGATGTTGGCCAAGCCAGTGTTTGGACCCTTGGATCGCTTGCAGGATGGCTCCCGGCGTGAAGTGAACCTGATCCCGAATGCACAGATTGAGGATCAGCTCTTCAATCAACTGGCCGACAAAAAGGTAGATGTGGTGACGTGTCCATCTGGCTGGGGCGGAACCAATTGGGCACTGCCACTCCTTTTGGATCACACCTTTTGCTTGATCCTGTCGAAAGGTTTGCAGTTCACATGGCTATGGTTTGACAATTGGATTTGCCCGAACCCTGCTCTTTACATTGAAAACATTGCCAAAGCTGGTCGGATGGTAGCTCGAAATACAGTAATTAGGTGTATATAGTTTAAACGATATAATGTAACTGTAACTGTACATATTCGCCACATCCACATTTGTGTAGACACCCGTGCAACCTGCCTGCCCTCTACTCCTCTACTCCTCTACTCAATCTCTACCAAAGCTTGAAAACCCCCTGTGATGATGTCTTGCCGCAAGGTATACTGTAAAGAGTCGACCGACAGTAGTGAAGAGCCACTTCCAACTGTCACAAGACTGCCAGGTTCCCGTACCTTCCTCATGTGCCGAATCGGGGCTCCAGGATCCACAAGTACTTCCGAAGCTTGCTGCCCTCAAGAATACATATACGGTGGTATTTCTTTACCTGTCATGGGCCCTAGGATGTAGAGTTCATCAAGCCCTGGCAAACTGACAAGACTCTGTTGCATGCGACTATTTAATTTCACGTGACACTTTAGAAAAGCACGAAGGAGTCACTTCCATCAAGTTCAGCTTTTTCCTGCTTGACTTCCTACCGTGACACCACCCCATGTTTCCGATCATATGCAACATCTCCGACTTCGCCCTGAGGTGATGCAGAATGCTGGCGCCGGTGGGTCGCCCTTGGACTTCTTGGCGCGCTTCGCAGGGCCCATCGCGTGGCTCATCGCCGGGCTTTTGCTGCTCTTTGGTGGCTTGCCCTTTGGAGGAGCGATGCTGTGAGCAGAAGGGGAACAATGCAGCACTGGCTGTGACAGGGTGTGGTGAATGTTGCTCTCATAGGTGGCCTAGGGATCTAGGGGAAAACGCGTGCAAACAAAGAGGGTGAAGGTTGGAGGTTCTCCACATGAATCACATTACACTCAGGCTCTGTGTCCATTCTCAAAAAAAGCATTTGTGCACTGGCAGAGTTCTTTTGACCCCTCCGTCCTGTTCATTGTGAGGGTCGTTGATTGTGGACTCAACATTCAGTGGCTGTTCAGGACCCGGCGGACCTGGAGGCTCCGGTGGAAACCCCTTTGAGCTTGGCAAGTCAAAGGCCCGCATCATCAAGGACCGGATGGATTTTCGGGACTTCGGGAGATTGGGTCTCCGTGCGATTCAGCTCTCGGTCTCTGCAAGTCACCGTGTTGACAGCACCCTGTTGAAGATTGATTCTGGTGCTATTTGGGAGGCTGCATGTCATTGCATGTCTGCCAATTATGGGACATAGTTGTTTGTCTTGAAATTCAAGCTGTCCACCTACACCACGCACGGCCGTTGGAAGGATGGAGACACTAAAGTGAAGTTCGCAGACGTAGCAGGCACGCACCAAACCATTGGACTGACTGATGCGATTGAGAGGCTGAGAGACGCTCAGATGCTGAATGCAAGTTGGTGTCAGACACAACACAAAGACGGGACTCGTTGAGAAAGACGGCCTTTCATCCCCTCCGCAAAGGTCCATCGTGCGAGAGCTTTGCTTCTCATTTTTCAGCTTGGTTTTCGGACTTGCTTTGGCTTCTCTTTGATAATTCCAAGGTCTTCGCTCTGTTGCTAGAGGCGCCAACAGTCCTGGTGTAAATTCATTGAGGAAGTCAACTGGATTTGACCTTTTCGAGTGTCAGCAACCTGCTTTCAGAAGACTTCGGTTTATGCTGAAACCCTTAAGGCTGTAGGTTTGGTACTCAGGGTTTCGTTGTTGTGGAACCTCTGACGATCTAATCTCTTTTTGACCGTGACGATGAGAAGGCTGCGACGGAGCAAAGACGGAATTGGTTGAGGTGGTTGACTTCTTGAAGAACACCTCCAGGCAGCGGCAGCGCGTTCACTTTTTTGCAACCCACAAACACTGCTCGCTCTCGAGCCCCCAAGTTGCCTGCGAACAGTCTGCGCAAGCGATGACCACCCTTGCCACCCACACTCACACACACTGTGAAGACTCCTCGTGGGAGTTGCCACATGAGATGAAACAGCCCAAGTTTCGGGTGAAAAGGTGGCTGGGAGCCCGTCCAACCTAAACCCCAAATAAAGCATGGAATCCAAAGTGCCATAGTGCAGATCCTTTGCTTGTGCATTTCCGTTTTTCTTGGCTTGGGCAAAACTCCGTGCTCCTGAATGGAGCAAGACCGGCTCAATTGGGCAAGCGTATACACCAGCCAAGATGAGCAATCCTTGCAAAATGCAGGAGATGGTAAACCTGTCATTTCTTCCGAACTCATGCAGGGTCTGGCCATGGTGTAGGTTTGGGAATGTTTGGGACATATCTTTGCCCAACAACAGTCCAAGATAGGCATCACACTCAGTCTTCAAGTGAGGACCCATGAAGCTGTGGCGCAAAAATGGCTACCATCCAAACCCTCTCTGTGAAGGAAACCAACACCTGCGGGTACTGGGCCTCATTATTAGAGTGAGGCCTACAGTAAGAGCTCCTCACCAATAGGGCATTTGCGAGGTATTCGGAGCTCGGTGCCAAGATCCCGAAGGGAGCCTTGCTGGTTGGGCCACCCGGAACTGGAAAGACCTTGCTTGCAAAGGCGGTGGCAGGGGAGGCAGGTGCCGTCTCCTGTGTGGCTTTATGTTTTTTTGTAATGGGTACGCCATTGCACATTCAGTACAGCAGTTGTAGTAGGCAGTAGACGTCCGTTGTCATAGTCGTCACACAAGGGTCTGTGTGGTTCACCTTGTTTTTTTGAAGACCGAACCACATTTGTCCGATTTGAGCAGGCCGGCGTGCCCTTTTTCAGCATCTCCGCGTCTGAGTTTGTTGAGATCTTTGCGGGTATCGGTGCCTCTCGCGTGCGAGACCTCTTCGAGCAGGCCGTATGGATTGGTGTGAGTCAACGTTTGCCAGTATGCGCAAACCCTGGCGAAACATGCCGTGTGGGCGTGAGAATACCAAGATTTCAAAGGCAGCCTGTAGAAAACTGTGAAGGGGAACTAGGGGGTAGGTAGCTGTATTCCTGAGAAGAGTCAGTCACAGCTTGCTTTTGTACGTCTAGTGACACGGGGCGTCAAGGCACATGCCATCAGCGAATGGTCTCAGCCATTTCATTTCAGCAAGCCCCGGGAACCCTGGTGAGGCGAAGAAGTCGGCGCCGTGCATCATCTTCATCGATGAGATCGATGCGGTTGGGCGGCAGCGAAGTGCCGGCTTCGGCCAAGGAGGGGAGTTGGTGTCCACATGATGTGGCTTGTGACGCGATTTGGGACGATGTTAGGATGGGACAATATGGGGCAATTTAGATTGGAGCAGCGGAGTCCAGGTCCATTCCAAGGGTAGTTATTTCATTTCAGGCCAATTTCTCTAGGTGTTTGGTGGTTTGGTATGAATCCCTTGCAGGAAACGACGAGCGTGAGCAGACGGTGAATCAGCTCCTGACGGAGATGGATGGCTTCCTAGCACAGTAACAGTAACAGGTGTGTGACTGGAGGTCCCAGAGTAGGAGGACTCACAGGCTCCTTAACTTGACCTTTTTGGGGTGGGCAATCAGCAATAATTGAGTGCTCTTTCAGTGT